TATGCAGATGACACTCAACTACTTTTCTCCTTCCCCCTTCTAACACCCAGGTGGTGATACGCATCTCTGCATGCATGCCTGGCAGATATCTCAGCTTGGATGTCGGCCCACCTCCTCGAGCTCAACCTCGACAAGTCTGAGCTGCTCTTCCTCCCAAGACCTCTCCATCACGGTTGACAAATCCACTGTGTCCCCCTCCCAGAGTGCAAAGAACCTTGGCGTGACCCTGGACAACACCCTGTCGTTCTCTGCAAACATCAGAGCAGTGACCCGCTCCTGCAGGTTCATGGTCTACAACATCCGTAGAGTACGACCCTACCTCACACAGGAAGCGGCGCAGGTCCTAATCCAGGTACTCGCTGTTGGCTGGGCTCCCCGCTTGTGCCATCAAACCCCTGCAACTTATCCAGAACGCTGCAGCCGACCTGGTGTTCAACCTTCCCAAGTTCTCCTATGTCACCCCACTCCTCTGCACACTCCACTGGCTTCCAGTCTAAGCTCACATCCACTACAAGACCATGGTACTTACCTACCCCAGCACTCCGTTCTGCCTCCTCTGGTCTCTTGACCCTCACCTCCCACGGGACAGCAGCATGGAATTTGACTGCCTTCATGGCTCTTGAACGCCGGTGTGGCGGTAATATGGTCAACGCAACAGCCCCACCCACCACCTCAAGCTCAACCTCGACAAGACTGAGCTGCTTCCTCCCGGGGAAGGCCTGCCTGCTCCAAGACCTCTCCATCACGGTTGACAACTCCACGGTGTCCCACTCCCAGAGTGCAAAGGACACCTTGTTGTTCTCTGCAAATATCAAAGGAGTGACTCGCTCCTGCAGGTTCATGCTCTACAACATCCGTAGAGACCAGAGGTGGTGAGTACCCCACTACCTCACACAGGAAGCGGTGCAGGTCATAATCCAGGAACTTCTGCTCCCTACCTTCAGGCTATGCTCAAACCCTACAACCCAACCCGAGCACTCCGTTCTGCCACCTCTGGTCTCTTGGCCGTCCCACCCCTACGGCAGGGCAGCTGCCCCTCAGTCTGCCACTCCGTGCTGCCACCTCTGGTCTCTTGGCCGTCCCACCCCTAACGCAGGGCAGCTTGCGCTCAGTCTGCCACCTCTGGTCTCTTGGCCCTCCCACCCCTACGGCAGGGCAGCTCCCCCTCAGTCTGCCACCTCTGGTCTCTTGGCCGTCCCACCCCTACGGCAGGGCAGCTCCCCCTCAGTCTGCCACCTCTGGTCTCTTGGCCGTCCCACCCCTACGGCAGGGCAGCTCCCACTCAGCCCAGTCCAAGCCCTTCTCTGTCCTAGCACCCCAATGATGGAACCAGCTTCCCCCTGAAGTTAAGGACAGCAGAGTCCCTGGCCATGTTCTGAAAACATCTGAAACCCCGCCTCTTCAAAGAGTATTTTTATTTTTATTTAACCTTTATTTAACCAGGTAAGAAGCCAGTTGAGAACAAGTTCTCATTTACAACTGCGACCTGGCCAAGATAAAGCAAAGCAGTGCGATTAAAAACAACAACACAGAGTTGCATATGGGGTAAAACAAAACATAAAGTCAAAAATACAACAGAAAATATACACTGCTCAAAAAAATAAAGGGAACACTAAAATAACACATCCTAGATCTGAATGAATGAAATAATCTTATTAAATACTTTTTTCTTGACATAGTTGAATGTGCTGACAACAAAATCACACAAAAAGTATCAATGGAAATCAAATTTATCAACCCATGGAGGTCTGGATTTGGAGTCACCCTCAAAATTAAAGTGGAAAACCACACTACAGGCTGATCCAACTTTGATGTAATGTCCTTAAAACAAGTCAAAATGAGGCTCAGTAGTGTGTGTGGCCTCCACGTGCCTGTATGACCTCCCTACAATGCCTGGGCGTGCTCCTGATGAGGTGGCGGATGGTCTCTTGAGGGATCTCCTCCCAGACCTGGACTAAAGCATCCGCCAACTCCTGGACAGTCTGGGCGTTGGTGGATGGAGCGAGACATGATGTCCCAGATGTGCTCAATTGGATTCAGGTCTGGGGAACGGGCGGGCCAGTCCATAGCATCAATGCCTTCCTCTTGCAGGAACTGCTGACACACTCCAGCCACATGAGGTCTAGCATTGTCTTGCATTAGGAGGAACCCAGGGCCAACCGCACCAGCATATGGTCTCACAAGGGGTCTGAGGATCTCATCTCGGTACCTAATGGCAGTCAGGCTACCTCTGGCGAGCACATGGAGGGCTGTGCGGCCCCCCAAAGAAATGCCACCCCACACCATGACTGACCCACCGCCAAACCGGTCATGCTGGAGGATGTTGCAGGCAGCATAACGTTCTCCACGGCGTCTCCAGACTCTGTCACGTCTGTCACGTGTGCTCAGTGTGAACCTGCTTTCATCTGTGAAGAGCACAGGGCGCCAGTGGCGAATTTGTCAATCTTGGTGTTCTCTGGCAAATGTCAAACGTCCTGCACGGTGTTGGGCTGTAAGCACAACCCCCACCTGTGGACGTCGGGCCCTCATACCACCCTCATGGAGTCTGTTTCTGACCGTTTGAGCAGACACATGCACATTTGTGGCCTGCTGGAGGTCATTTTGCAGGGCTCTGGCAGTGCTCCTCCTGCTCCTCCTTGCACAAAGGCGTGGTAGCAGTCCTGTTGCTGGGTTGTTGCCCTCCTACGGCCTCCTCCACGTCTCCTGATGTACTGGCCTGTCTCCTGGTAGCGCCTCCATGCTCTGGACACTACGCTGACAGACACAGCAAACCATCTTGCCACAGCTCGCATTGATGTGCCATCCTGGATGAGCTGCACTACCTGAGCCACTTGTGTGGGTTGTAGACTCCGTCTCATGCTACCACTAGAGTGAAAGCACCGCCAACATTCAAAAGTGACCAAAACATCAGCCAGGAAGCATAGGAACTGAGAAGTGGTCTGTGGTCACCACCTGCAGAACCACTCCTTTATTGGGGGTGTCTTGCTAATTGCCTATAATTTCCAGCTGTTGTCTATTCCATTTGCACAACAGCAATGTATTGTCAATCAGTGTTGCTTCCTAAGTGGACAGTTTGATTTCACAGAAGTGTGATTGACTTGGAGTTACATTGTGTTGTTTAAGTGTTCCCTTTATTTTTTTGAGCAGTGTATATACAGAGTGTGCAAATGTAGCAAGTTATGGAGGTAAGGCAATACATTTTAAGGAATCCCACACCACCCCCCCCTCATACCCACTCCTCCCCCCCAATTTGTTTAGCCTTTTGTAAACTAACACTCACACTAGTAGATGGTGTGGTCCAGAGTATCAGGCTGATTTGTTGTTGTGGTTGTTGTTGTAGAAGGTATAGTCCAGAGTATCAGGCTGATTTGTTGTGGTTGTTGTTGTAGATAGTAGATGATGTGGTCCAGAGTATCAAGCTGATTTGTTGTTGTTGTAGATAGTAGACGGTCTAGTCCAGAGTATCAGGCTGATTTGTTGTGGTTGTTGTTGTAGATAGTAGATGGTCTAGTCCAGAGTATCAGGCTGATTTGTTGTTGTGGTTGTTGTTGTAGATGATGTGGTCCAGAGTATCAGGCTAATTTGTTGTGGTTGTTGTTGTAGAAGGTGTAGTCCAGAGTATCAGGCTGATTTGTTGTGGTTGTTGTTGTAGATAGTAGATGGTGTAGTCCAGAGTATCAGGCTGATTTGTTGTGGTTGTTGTTGTAGATAGTAGATGGTGTAGTCCAGAGGATCAGGCTGATTTGTTGTGGTTTTTGTTGTAGATGGTGTAGTCCAGAGTATCAGGCTGATTTGTTGTGGTTGTTGTTGTAGATAGTAGATGATGTAGTCCAGAGTATCAGGCTGGTTTGTTGTGGTTGTTGTTGTAGATAGTAGATGGTGTAGTCCAGAGGATCAGGCTGATTTGTTGTGGTTGTTGTTGTAGAAGGTGTAGTCCAGAGTATCAGGCTGATTTGTTGTGGTTTGTTGTTGTAGATAGTAGATGGTGTAGTCCAGAGTATCAGGCTGATTTGTTGTGGTTGTTGTTGTAGATAGTAGATGGTGTAGTCCAGAGTATCAGGCTGATTTGTTGTGGTTGTTGTTGTAGATAGTAGATGGTGTAGTCCAGAGTATCAGGCTGATTTGTTGTGGTTGTTGTTGTAGATAGTAGATGGTGTGGTCCAGAGTATCAGGCTGATTTGTTGTTGTGGTTGTTGTAGATAGTAGATGGTGTAGTCCAGAGTATCAGGCTGATTTGTTGTGGTTGTTGTTGTAGAAGGTGTAGTCCAGAGTATCAGGCTGATTTGTTGTGGTTGTTGTTGTAAATTATGTGGTTCAGAGTATCAGGCTGATTTGTTGTGGTTGTTGTTGTAGATGATGTGGTCCAGAGTATCAGGCTAATTTGTTGTGGTTGTTGTTGTAGAAGGTGTAGTCCAGAGTATCAGGCTGATTTGTTGTGGTTGTTGTTGTAGATAGTAGATGGTGTAGTCCAGAGTATCAGGCTGATTTGTTGTGGTTGTTGTTGTAGATAGTAGATGGTGTAGTCCAGAGGATCAGGCTGATTTGTTGTGGTTGTTGTTGTAGATTGGTGTAGTCCAGAGTATCAGGCTGATTTGTTGTGGTTGTTGTTGTAGATAGTAGATGGTGTAGTCCAGAGTATCAGGTTGATTTGTTGTGGTTGTTGTTGTAGATAGTAGATGGTGTAGTCCAGAGTATCAGGCTGATTTGTTGTGGTTGTTGTTGTAGATAGTAGATGGTGTAGTCCAGAGTATAGGCTGATTTGTGTGATTGTTGTGTAATAGTAGATGGTGTGGTCCAGAGTATCAGGCTGATTTGTGTTGTGGTTGTTGTAGATAGTAGATGGGGGTAGTCCAGAGTATCAGGCTGATTTGTTGTGGTTGTGTTGTAGATAGTAGAAGGTGTAGTCCAGAGTATCAGGCTGATTTGTTGTTGTGGTTGTTGTAGATAGTAGATGGTGTAGTCCAGAGTATCAGGCTGATTTGTTGTGGTTGTTGTTGTAGATAGTAGATGGTGTGGTCCAGAGTATCAAGCTGATCACTGAAGACGCCAGTAGAAAAATTGCTGAGTACGCCTTTGAATATGCCAGGAACAACCAGCGAGCCAGCGTCACCGCCGTGCACAAGGCCAACATTATGTAAGTCTTGTTTCTATACTTACTCTTCCTGTCTGTACAATGTCTTGTTGCTCTACTGTATTTCTATACTTACTCTTCCTGTCTGTACAATGTCTTGTTTCTCTACTGTATTTCTATACTTACTCTTCCTGTCTGTAAAATGTATTGTTGCTCTACTGAAAGATGAGGCGAATGGTGTTCTCCGCTTTCTGTCTCTAGCGTCCCCCCCTCACCCCCGGCTTAGACGAGGCTTACACACACTACATACGCTCACACAGTCACACTTCACATACGCTGCTGCTACTCTGTTTATTATCTATCCTGATTGACTAGTCACTTTTACCCCTACCTACATGTACATATTACCTCAACTACCAACACTGCTGCTACTCTGTTTATTATCTATCCTGATTGGCTAGTCACTTTTACCCCTACCGACATGTACATATTACCTCAACTACCAACACTGCTGCTACTCTGTTTATTATCTATCCTGATTGACTAGTCACTTTTACCCCTACCTACATGTACATATTACCTCAACTACCAACACTGCTGCTACTCTGTTTATTATCTATCCTGATTGACTAGTCACTTTTACCCCTACCGACATGTACATATTACCTCAACTACCAACTCTGCTGCTACTCTGTTTATTATCTATCCTGATTGACTAGTCACTTTTACCCCTACCGACATGTACAATATTACCTCAACTACCAACTCTGGCTGCTACTACTCTGTTTATTATCTATCCTGATTGACTAGTCACTTTTACCCCTACCGACATGTACATATTACCTCAACTACCTCGTACCCCTGCACATTGACTCAGTACTGGTACTTCCTGTATATAGCTTTTTTATTACCTTGTACTTCCTGTATATAGCCATTTTATTACCTGGTACTCCCTGTATATAGCCATGTTATTACCTGGTACTTCCTGTATATAGCCATGTTATTACCTGGTACTTCCTGTATATAGCCATGTTATTACCTGGTACTTCCTGTATATAGCCTTGTTATTACCTGCTACTTCCTGTATATAGCCATGTTATTACCTGCTACTACTGCTACTTCTGTATATTGGCCTTGGTTATTGTTTTTACTAGTTTCCTTTTTTATTTAGCTAATATTTGTCTTAACTTTTATTAACTCTGCACTGTTGGGAATGGGCTCGTAAGGAAGCATTTCACTGTAAAGTTTACAACTGTTTACAACTTTTTTTTTCAGTACCTCAAAATTATTTCATGAGAGTAACTGGAACACTGACATTATTTCAAATGCCCATCTCTAATAGCAATGTTGTAGTTGATGAGTTTGTCTCCGTCTCCTGACAGGCGATGTCATACGGGTTGTTCCTGAGGAAGTGGCAGAGAGGTGGCGGAGAAATACAGGGACATCAAGTTCACCGAGATGTACCTGGATACGGTCTGTCTCAATGTAGGTACCCAGGTTCTAGACTTCTTCTCCTTGACTTACATCGAGGCTGCATATCAACTGTAGTATTATGTACTGTATCCATTCTCTTGTTCTACAGATGGTGCAGGATCCCACTCAGTTTGATGTGCTGGTCATGCCCAACCTGTACGGAGACATCCTGAGGTGAGATGGTGTCTTGAATAACAGGATATAACTAATGGTTTTAGAAACATGACTGCTCCACCCTCATGGAGCTGTTTTGCCGTTTGACAAAAAAGCAATTTGGGGCCCCCGGAGTCTTTTTGCGGGCTCTGGCAGGGCTCCCCTGCCCTCCTTGCAAAAGGGCGGGGGTAGCGTCCTGTTGTGGGTTGTTGCCCCCCTACGGCCTCCCCCACTCTCCTGATGTACGGGGCCGTCTCCGGGTGGCCCCCTCCATGCTCTGGACCTACGCTGACGACACAGCAAACCTCTTGCCACACTCGCATTATGTGCCATCCGGATGACTCAACCTGAGCCACTTGTGGGGTTTGAACCCCGCCACTACCCTAGATGAAAGCACCGCCAAAATTAAAAAGTGCCCAAAAACTCAGCCGGAAAAGCATAGGAACTGAAAAGTGGTCTGTGGTCCCACCTGCAAACCACCCCTTTTTTGGGGGGTGTCTTGCAAATTGCCATAATTCCACTGTTTTCTATTCCATTTGCACAACAGCAATGTATTGTCAATCGGTTGTTTCCTAAGTGGACGTTTGTTTTCACAGAAGGGTTTTGATTGGAGTTACTTTGTTTTTTAAAGGGGTTTCCCCTTTTTTTTTTTTGAGCATGAAATTACAGAGTGTAAAAATGTAAAAGTTTGGAGGAAAGGCAATACTTTTTAAAGGGAAACCCCAAAACCCCCCCCCCCCCCTCATCCCCCCTCCCCCCCCCCAATTTGTTTTACCCTTTTTAAAAACTAACACTCACATTTAGATGGTGTGGCCAAGTATGGCTGATTTTTGTGGTTTGTTGTTGTAAGGTTATCCAGAGTTCAGGTGATTTTTTGTGGTTGTGTGTAAAGTAGATGTTGGCCCCAAAGTATAAAGCTATTTGTTGTTTTTTGTTTTAAAAAGGTTACCCCAATTCAGCTGATTTGTTTGGTTGTTGTTGTAGATGGGTTGGTCCCGAGTATCGGCTGATTTTTGTTTGGTTTTGTTGTAGTGATTTTTGTCCGAACGGAATTTGTTGGGGTTTTTTGGAGAAGGGAGCCAAGTACCCCGGGATTTTGTTTGTTTTGAGAAAAGGGACCAATACAGGGCGAGGGGTTGGGTAATAGGTAAGGTGTGTCCAAGACCCCCTATTTTTTGGGTTTTGGTTTTAAGGGGGTGTAGCCAAGTATCCGGCGGGATTTGTTGGGGGGGAAGAAGTGGAACCAGAGACACTGGGGTTTGTTTGGGTAGATGGAGGTGAAGCCAGAGGACAGGCTGATTTTGGGGTGGTTTTGTTTTGAGAAGTTTCCCGTATCAGGTGGATTTTTTGTGGTTTTTTTTTGGTGTAGGGGGTCCCAAGGGGGGCAGGCTATTTTTTGGTTGGGTTGTAGAAAGGATGGGAGGATATTGTTTTTGGTTGGTTTTAATTGATGGGAGGAGTTCGGCGAGGGGTGTTTTTTTTGAGAGTGAGGTTTGGTCCAGGTTCAGGCTGTTTGTTTGGTTTTTTTGGAGTGAAGGGGTGATCCAGGTTTCAGGGATTTTTGGGTTGTTGTTTTGAAAGGTTGCCGGACGGCTGATTTTTGGGGTTTTTTGTTAAATTTTGTGGGGATTTAAGGTTTTTGGGGTTTTGGGGGATATGTGGCCCCCAGGGAATCACCTAATTGTTGGGGTTGTTGTTTGTAGAAGGTTGTAGTCCAGAGATCAGGTTTTTTTTTGGGGGTTTGTTTTGGAATAGTGGGGCCAGGTATAGGCTATTTGTTTGGGTTTGGGGAGATGAGAGTTAGCCCAAAAGGACAGGTGGTTTGGGGGGGTAGTTGGTTAGCCCCCGATAGGTGATTTTGGTTTTTTTGGAATGGATGGTGTAGTCCAACGGGATTTTTGGGTTTTTTGAAAGAGAAGGGGAGTCCCAATTTCAGGGCGTTTTTTGGGGTGGTTGGGTTTTTTTGTAAATATGGGGTCCAGAAAAAGGTGATTTTTTGATTTTTTTGTAAATGAGGGTGGTCCAGGACAGGGTTTTTTGGGTGGGGTTGTTGAGATATAAGGGAGCCAAATCGGCTGATTTGTTTGGTTTTTGTGAAAAGGGAAGGGGTTTTTGCCAATTCGGCCGAGGTTGTTTTTTGTTTAGAAGTAAAAAGGTTTCCAGAGTACAGGTTAATTTTTGGGTTTGTTGTTTGATAGTAGTGGGGGGGTCCAATTTCAAGTTTTATCCTGAAGACCCCCGTAAAAAATTTTGAGTACCCCTTTTTGAGAACCCACGAAGGTCCCGCCGTGACAAGGCCAATTTGAAGGTTCAAACTCTTTTTGGTAAAGTGGTTGCCAGGGGTATTTCTTTTTCCCTTTTCCTGTCTGTACAAGCGGTTTCTACGTTTTCTAACTTACCTTCCTGTCTGTAAAATGTCTTGTTGCTCTACTGAAAGATGAGGCGAATGGTGTTCTCCGCTTTCTGTCTCTAGCGTCCCCCCCCTCACCCCCGGCTTAGACGAGGCTTACACACACTACATACGCTCACACAGTCACTCTTCACATACGCTGCTGCTACTCTGTTTATTATCTATCCTGATTGACTAGTCACTTTTAACCCTACCGACATGTACATATTACCTCAACTACCAACACTGCTGCTACTCTGTTTATTATCTATCCTGATTGACTAGTCACTTTACCCCTACCTACATGACATATACCTCAACTACCAACACTGCTGCTACTCTGTTTATTATCTATCCTGATTGGCTAGTCACTTGTACCCCTACCTACATGTACATATTACCTCAAACTACCAACACTGCTGCTACTCTGTTTATTTCTATCCTGATTGGCTAGTCACTTTTACCCCTACCTACAGTACATATTACCTCAACTACCCAACACTGCTGCTACTCTGTTTATTATCTATCCTGATTGACTAGGCACTTTTACCCCTACATACATGTACATATTACCTCAACTACCAAACACTGCTGCTACTCTGTTTATTATCTATCCTGATTGGCTAGTCACTTTACCCTACCTACATGTACATATTACCTCAACTACCAACAATGCTGCTACTCTGTTTATTATCTATCCTGATTGGCTAGTCACTTTTACCCCTACCTACATGTACATATTACCTCAACTACCAACACTGCTGCTACTCTGTTTATTATCTATCCTGATTGGCTAGTCACTTTTACCCCTACCTACATGTACATATTACCTCAACTACCAACACTGCTGCTACTCTGTTTATTATCTATCCTGATTGACTAGTCACTTTTACCCCTACTGACATGTACATATTACCTCAACTACCTCATACCCCTGCACATTGACTCAGTACTGGTACTCCCTGTATATAGCCATGTTATTACCTGGTACTTCCTGTATATAGCCATGTTATTACCTGGTACTCCCTGTATAGCCAAGTTATTACCTGGTTCTCCCTGTATATAGCCATGTTATTACCTGGTACTTCCTGTATATAGCCATGTTTTTACCTGGTACTTCCTGTATATATCCATGTTAGTACCTGGTACTTCCTGTATATAGCCATGTTATTACCTGGTACTCCCCGTATATAGCCATGTTATTACCTGGTACTTCCTGTATATAGCCATGTTATTACCTGATACTCCCTGTATATAGCCATGTTATTACCTGGTACTTCCTGTATATAGCCATGTTATTACCTGGTACTTCCTGTATATAGCCATGTTATTACCTGGTACTTCCTGTATATAGCCATGTTATTACCTGGTACTTCCTGTATATAGCCATGTTATTACCTGGTACTTCCTGTATATAACCATGTTGTTACCTGGTTCTCCCTGTATATTGCAATTTTATTACCTGGTACTTCCTGTATATAGCCATTTTATTACCTGGTACTTCCTGTATATAGCCATGTTATTACCTGGTACTTCCTGTATAAAGCCATGTTATTACCTGATACTTCCTGTATATAGCCATTTTATTACCTGATACTTCCTGTATATAGCCATGTTATTACCTGGTACTTCCTGTATATAGCCATGTTATTACCTGATACTTCCTGTATATGGCCATTTTATTACCTGGTACTTCCTGTATAAAGCCATTTTATTACCTGGTACTTCCTGTATATAGCCATTTTATTACCTTGTACTCACTGTATATAGCCATGTTATTACCTGGTACTCCCTGTATATAGCCATGTTATTACCTGGTACTCCCTGTATATAACCATGTTATTACCTGGTACTTCCTGTATATAGCCATGTTATTACCTGGTACTTCCTGTATATAGCCATGTTATTACCTGGTACTTCCTGTATATAGCCATGTTATTACCTGGTACTTCCTGTATATAGCCATGTTATTACCTGGTACTCCCTGCATATAGCCATGTTATTACCTGGTACTCCCTGTATATAGCCATGTTATTACCTGGTACTTCCTGTATATAGCCATGTTATTACATGGAACTTCCTGTATATAGCCATGTTATTACCTGGTACTTCCTGTATATAGCCATGTTATTACCTGATACTTCCTGTATATAGCCATGTTATTACCTGATACTTCCTGTATATAGCCATGTTATTACCTGGTTCTCCCTGTATATTGCAATTTTATTACCTGGTACTTCCTGTATATAGCCATTTTATTACCTGGTACTTCCTGTATATAGCCATGTTATTACCTGATACTTCCTGTATATAGCCATTTTATTACCTGGTACTTCCTTTATATAGCCATGATATTACCTGGTACTCCCTGTATATAGCCATGTTATTACCTGGTACTTCCTGTATATAGCCTTGTTATTACCTGCTACTTCCTGTATATAGCCATGTTATTACCTGCTACTTCCTGTATATTGCCTTGTTATTGTTTTACTAGTTCCTTTTTTATTTAGCTAATATTTGTCTTACTTTTTAACTCTGCACTATTGGGAATGGGCTCGTAAGGAAGCATTTCACTGTAAAGTTTACAACTGTTTACAACTTTTTTTTCGGTACTCAAAATTATTTTCATGAGAGTACTGGAACACGGACATTATTTCAAATGCCCATCTCTAATAGCAATGTTGTAGTTGATGAGTTTGGCTCCGTCTCCTGACAGGCGAATGTCAGACGGGTTGTTCCTGAGGAAGTGCAGAGAGGTGGCGGAGAAATACAGGGACATCAAGTTCACCGAGATGTACCTGGATACGGTCTGTCTCAATGTAGGTACCCAGGTCTAGACTTCTTCTCCTTGACTTACATCGAGGCTGCATATCAACTGTAGTATTATGTACTGTATCCATTCTCTTGTTCTACAGATGGTGCAGGATCCCACTCAGTTTGATGTGCTGGTCATGCCCAACCTGTACGGAGACATCCTGAGGTGAGATGGTGTCTTGAATAACAGGATATAACTAATGGTTTAGAAACATGAACTGCTCCACCCACATTCATAACTTTGTCTTGTATATGGGTGTGAAACTGATTGATCCCTGTTCGATCCTGGAGGATATTACAGTGTTTGTGTTTTTCAGTGATCTGTGTGCTGGGCTGATCGGAGGTCTTGGGGTGACTCCTAGTGGAAATATTGGTGCCAACAATGTCGCCATCTTTGAATCGGTAGGTATGAAGGTCTAATTACTGTGGATTTTAAAGATTGTGTAGTTAATGTGAAGGTAGCTTTAATGTGATGCTCCTGGCCCAGTTTGGCCCATGATACAGCACCAGACATACCAATCCTGGATATGACCAACCTTACCGCTCAGTGGCTAGTTGTATTAACATCCTGGATATGACCAACCCTACCGCTCAGTGGCTAGTTGTATTAACATCCTGGATATGACCAACCCTACCGCTCAGTGGCTAGTTGTATTAACATCCTGGATATGACCAACCCTACCGCTCAGTGGCTAGTTGTATTAACATCCTGGATATGACCAACCCTACCGCTCAGTGGCTAGTTGTATTAACATCCTGGATATGACCAACCCTACCGCTCAGTGGCTAGTTGTATTAACATCCTGGATATGACCAACCCTACCGCTCAGTGGCTAGTTTTTTAACATCCTGGATATGACCAACCCTACCGCTCAGTGGCTAGTTGTATTAACATCCTGGATATGACCAACCCTACCGCTCAGTGGCTAGTTGTATTAACATCCTGGATATGACCAACCTTACCGCCTCAGTGGCTGTTGTATTAACCATCCTGGATATGACCAACCTTACCGCTCAGTGGCTAGTTGTATTAACATCCTGGGATATGACCAACCCTACCGCTCAGTGCTAGTTGTATTAACATCCGGATATGACCAACCCTACCGCTCAGTGGCTAGTTTGTATTAACATCCTGGATATGACCAACCCTACCGCTCAGTGGCTAGTTGTATTAACATCCTGGATATGACCAACCCTACCGCTCAGTGGCTAGTTGTATTAACATCCTGGATATGACCAACCCTACCGCTCAGTGGCTAGTTGTATTAACATCCTGGATATGACCAACCCTACCGCTCAGTGGCTAGTTGTATTAACATACAGTCAATTGAGTACAGGCTTAACTGAATGACAGAGAGAATATAATAAGGAATTGTTTGAATGGTTTGGGGAAGGCCTCATCTCAGGAATGCTCCTCAGAGCCAGAAGCTGATGACTGGCTACACTATGATGGGATGTCTGTGTACGTCTACCCAGCCACGCATGCCGTAATGCTACCGAGCCTTAGACCCAGGAAGATATGGGCACCTGCCCAAGTCCCGGCCCAATACTGACCTGCTGATTGTTACGCTGATTTGTTTAGAAGAAATGTTACGCATGATGTTAAGTAGAACCCAAACACATATATAATGTAATGAGATTTGTCAAATATGAGACGGTTTGCTGCTTTAAAGACAGTCGTGCGATGGGGATGCATGCCAAAGACAGTCGTGCGATGGGGATGCATGCCAAAGACAGTCGTGCGATGGGGATGCATGCCAAAGACAGTCGTGCGATGGGGATGCATGCCAAAAGGTGTCTGACCCTGCTTTAAAGACAGTCGTGCGATGGGGATGCATGCCAAAGACAGTCGTGCGATGGGGATGCATGCCAAAGACAGTCGTGCGATGGGGATGCATGCCAAAAGGTGTCTGACCCTGCTTTAAAGACAGTCGTGCGATGGGGATGCATGCCAAAAGGTGTCTGACCCTGCTTTAAAGACAGTCGTGCGATGGGGATGCATGCCAAAGACAGTCGTGCAATGGGGATGCATGCCAAAGACAGTCGTGCGATGGGGATGCATGCCAAAAGGTGTCTGACCCAACAGTCGGGTGTAATATGAATGACCTCCACATACATGCGTGTCATTGGAAACTCGCCAACTAAATTAGCTATTGATTGCTACGGTAAGCAGCCATTGCTGAGAAGAAGTCAAACTGATTGGGCCTAACAAGTGGAGCATAGCCCGCCACATACAGTGAGGGAAACAAGTATTTGATCCCCTGCTGATTTTGTACGTTTGCCCACTGACAAAGACATGATCAGTCTATAATTGTAATGGTAGGTTTATTTGAACAGTGAGAGACAGAATAACTACAACAAAAATCCAGAGAAATGCATGTAAAAAAAGTTATGAATTGATTTGCATTTTAATGAGGGAAATAAGTATTTGACCCCTCTGCAAAACATGATTTAGTTGGCAATCACAGAGGTCAGACGTTTCTTGTAGTTGGCCACCAGGTTTGCACACATCTCAGGAGGGATTTTGTCCCACTCCTCTTTGCAGATCTTCTCCAAGTCATTAAGGTTTCAAGGCTGACGTTTGGCAACTCGAACCTTCAGCTCCCTCCACAGATTTTCTATGGGATTAAGGTCTGGAGACTGGCTAGGCCACTCCAGGACCTTAATGTGCTTCTTCTTGAGCCACTCCTTTGTTGCCTTGGCCGTGTGTTTTGGGTCATTGTCATGCTGGAATACCCATCCACGACCCATTTTCAATGCCCTGGCTGAGGGAAGGAGGTTCTCACCCAAGATTTGACAGTACATGGCCCCGTCCATCGTCCCTTTGATGCGGTGAAGTTGTCCTGTCCCCTTAGCAGAAAAACACCCCCAAAGCATAATGTTTCCACCTCCATGTTTGACGGTGGGGGATGGTGTTCTTGGGGTCATAGGCAGGATTCCTCCTCCTCCAAACACGGCGAGTTGAGTTGATGCCAAAGAGCTCCATTTTGGTCTCATCTGACCACAACACTTTCACCCAGTTCTCCTCTGAATCATTAAGATGTTCATTGGCAAACATTAGACGGGCCTGTATATGTGCTTTCTTGAGCAGGGGGACCTTGCGGGCGCTGCAGGATTTCAGTCCTTCACGGCGTAGTGTGTTACCAATTGTTTTCTTGGTGACTATGGTCCCAGCTGCCTTAAGATCATTGACAAGATCCTCCCGTGTAGTTCTGGGCTGATTCCTCACCGTTCTCATGATCATTGCAACTCCACGAGGTGAGATCTTGCATGGAGCCCCAGGCCGAGGGAGATTGACAGTTCTTTTTTGTTTCTTCTATTTGCGAAAAATCACACCAACTGTTGTCACCTTCTCACCAAGCTGCTTGGCGATGGTCTTGTAGCCCATTCCAGCCTTGTGTAGGTCTACAATCTTGTCCCTGACATCCTTGAAGAGCTCTTTGGTCTTGGCCATGGTGGAGAGTTTGGAATCTGATTGATTGGCTTCTGTGGACAGGTGTCTTTTATACAGGTAACAAACTGAGATTAGGAGCACTCGCTTTAAAAGTGTGCTCCTAATCTCAGCTCGTTACCTGTATAAAAGACACCTGGGAGCCAGAAATCTTTCTTATTGAGAGGTGGTCAAGTACTTATTTCCCTCATTAAAATGCAAATCAATTTATAACATTTTTGACATGCATTTTTCTGGATTTTTGTTGTTGTTATTCTGTCTCTCACTGTTCAAATAAACCTACCATTAAAATTATAGACTGATCATGTCTTTGTCAGTGGGCAAACGTACAAAATCAGCAGGGGATCAAATACTTTTTTCCCTCACTGGAGAGTGATGGTGGAATTATACCTAATGTAGCTGTAGTGGTCACTGCTCCAGTTCTGAGCGAAAGACCAGTGGAACATAGAGGGGAAAGACCTTTATATTACTTAAGAAAGGACAGGAAGGAAACAGGTTTGAATAGGAGGGATGAATAGAGAATGATGAGGAGCAGAGCAGGTTTGAGTGTGAAGATATATTAGCACAAAGCAAGAGAAAGGACAAGTCTAAGTGTGATCTATCATGATAGTACCCCAGGAACTCCATTTAGAATGTTACTGTGAGCTATCATGATAGTACCCCAGGAACTCCATTTAGAATGTTACTGTGAACTATCATGATAGTACCCCAGGAACTCCATTTAGAATGTTAGTGCAAACTATTTGTATTTATTATGGATAGTATTTGTATTTGTATTTATTATGGATCCCCATTAGTTCCTGCCAAGGCAGCAGCTACTCTTCCTGGGGTTTATTATGGATCCCCATTAGTTCATGCCAAGGCAGCAGCTACTCTTCCTGGGGTTTATTATGGATCCCCATTAGTTCCTGCCAAGGCAGCAGCTACTCTTCCTGGGGTTTATTATGGATCCCCATTAGTTCCTGCCAAGGCAGCAGCTACTCTTCCTGGGGTTTATTATGGATCCCCATTAGTTCCTGCCAAGGCAGCAGCTACTCTTCCTGGGGTTTATTATGGATCCCCATTAGTTCCTGCCAAGGCAGCAGCTACTCTTCCTGGGGTTTATTATGGATCCCCATTAGTTCCTGCCAAGGCAGCAGCTACTCTTCCTGGGGTTTATTATGGATCCCCATTAGTTCCTGCCAAGGCAGCAGCTACTCTTCCTGGGGTTTATTATGGATCCCCATTAGTTCCTGCCAAGGCAGCAGCTACTCTTCCTGGGGTTTATTATGGATCCCCATTAGTTCCTGCCAAGGCAGCAGCTACTCTTCCTGGGGTTTATTATGGATCCCCATTAGTTCCTGCCAAGGCAGCAGCTACTCTTCCTGGGGTTTATTATGGATCCCCATTAGTTCCTGCCAAGGCAGCAGCTATTCTTCCTGGGGTTTATTATGGATTCCCATTAGTTCCTGCCAAGGCAGCAGCTACTCTTCCTGGGGTTTATTATGGATCCCCATTAGTTCCTGCCAAGGCAGCAGCTACTCTTCCTGGGGTTTATTATGGATCCCCATTAGTTCCTGCCAAGGCAGCAGCTACTTTTCCTGGGGTTTATTATGGATCCCCATTAGTTCCTACCAAGGCAGCAGCTACTCTTCCTGGGGTTTATTATGGATCCCCATTAGTTCCTGCCAAGGCAGCAGCTACTCTTCCTGAGGTTTATTATAGATCCCCATTAGTTCCTGCCAAGGCAGCAGCTACTCTTCCTGGGGTCCAGCTAAATTAAGGCAGTTATACAATGTTATATAACATTATTACACCACTACATATCTACAATACAAAATGTATAATACCACCATACAACAATATCACAATGTACAGTGGCTTGCGAAAGTATTCACCCCCTTTGGCATTTTTCCTATTTTGTTGCCTTACAACCTGGAATTAAAATTGATTTTTTTGGGGTTTGTATCATTTGATTTACACAACATGCCTACCATTTTGAAGATGCAACATATTTTTTATTGTGAAACAAACAAGAAATTAGACCAAAAAAATGCATAGCTATTCACCCCCCCAAAGTCAATACTTTGTAGAGCCACCTTTTGCAGCAATTACAGCTGCAAGTCTCTTGGGGTATGTCTCTATAAGCTTGGCACATCTAGCCACTGGGATTTTTGTCCATTCTTCAAGGCAAAACTGCTCCAGCTCCTTCAAGTTGGATGGGTTCCGCTGGTGTACAGCAATCTTTAAGTCCTACCACAGATTCTCAATTGGATTGAGGGCTTTGACTAGGCCATTCCAAGACATTTCAATGTTTCCCCTTAAACCACTCGAGTGTTGGTTTAGCAGTATACTTAGGGTCATTGTCCTGCTGGAAGGTGAACCTCCGTCCCAGTCTCAAATCTCTGGAAGACTGAAACAGGTTTCCCTCAAGAATGTCCCTGTATTTAGCGCCATCCATCATTCCTTCAATTCTGACCAGTTTCCCAGTCCCTGCCGATGAAAACCATCCCCACAGCATGATGCTGCCACCACCGTGCTTCACTGTGGGGATGGTGTTTTCGGGGTGATGAGAGGTGTTGGGTTTGCGCCAGACATAGCGTTTTCCTTGATGGCCAAAAAGTTCAATTTTAGTCTCATCTGACCAGAGTACCTTCTTCCATATGTTTGGGGAGTCTCCCACATGCCTTTTGGCGAACACCAAACGTGTTTGCTTATTTTTATCTTTAAGCAATGGCATTTTTCTGGCCACTCTTCTGTAAAGCCCAGCTCTGTGGAGTGTACGGCTTAAAGTGGTCCTATGGACAGATACTCCAATCTCTGCTGTGGAGCTTTGCAGCTCCTTCAGGGTTATCTTTGGTCTCTTTGTTGCCTCTCTGATTAATGCCCTCCTTGGTCCGTGAGTTTTGGTGGGCGGCCCTCTCTTGGCAGGTTTGTTGTGGTGCCATATTCTTTCAATTTTTTAATAATGGATTTAATGGTGCTCCGTGGGATGTTCAAAGTTTCGGATATTTTTTTATAACCCAACCCTGATCTGTACTTCTCCACAACTCTGTCCCTGACCTGTTTGGAGAGCTCCTTGGTCTTCATGGTGCCGCTTGCTTGGTGTTGCCCCTTGCTTAGTGGTGTTGCAAACTCTGGGCCTTTCAGAACAGGTGTATATATACTGAGATCATGTGACAGATCATGTGACACTTAGATTGCACACAGGTGGACTTTATTTAACTAATTGTGACATCTGAAGGTAATTGGTTGCACCAGATCTTATTTAGGGGCTTCATATCAAAGGGGGTGAATACATATGCACAAACCACTTTTCCGTTATTTATTGTTTTGAATTTTTTGAAACAAGTTTTTTTTTTTATTTCACTTCACCAATTTGGACTATTTTGTGAATGTCCATTACATGAAATCCAAATAAAAATCAATTTAAATTACAGGTTGTAATGCAACAAAATAGGAAAAACGCCAAGGGGGATGAATACTTTTGCAAGGCACTGTACTAAACTATAATATAATATAATATGCTATAATGTAACGTAATATAACATCATATACTTTAAAATACTATAATGGAATATACTATAATACAATATAACATCATATGTTTGAATATACTATAATATATTATAATATACTATAATATACTATAATATAATGTAATATACTATAATATAATTGAAAATACTATAATATAACATAATATGCATTAATATACTATAATATATATATATATATATATATATATATATATATATATATATATATATATATATATATATACACACTGTAATATACCATAATATAATGTAATATACACTAATATAATAAACTATAATACAATATACCTTCATAATATACTATAATATAATATACTATAATATATTATAACACACTATAATACACTATAATATACTATAGTACGTGTGTGTGTGTGTGTGTGTGTGTGTGTTTGTTCACAGTTGAAGTCGGAAGTTTACAGCAGAACGCTTAGGAGTGAGGGTAGTGATTTAAGGTGAAAAGACCAGATCAGAAACCCTAAATCCAACTCCTGTAAGTCGCTCTGGATAAAATATGCCATGGATAGTGGAATGAGCTGATCTAAATGAGCAACAATTCCTAAGCAGAAATGCCCTCTGAAGCGCAGGCTGAAGCCTGAGGTAACATTATAACCACTACTATATAAATACCTGCTATCTTGATGAGTGAGATAGGAAGCGATGTGAATGAGTTTACTAGATTTAATGAAAAGTGACGATCCATTCAGACCAGCCTTACTGATTTTAACTTTTTGTACAGTGCATCCGGAAAGTATTCAGACCCCTTCACTTTTTCCACATTTTATTACGTTAGTCTTATTCTAAAATGGATTCAATAAATCTACACACAATACCCCATAATGACAAAGCAAAAATAGGTTTTTAGAAATATTTGCTAATTTAGTATTTAGACCCTTTTCTATGAGACTCGAAATTGAGATGTTTCTACAACTTGATTGGAGTCCACCTGTGGTAAATTCAATTGATTGGACATGATTTGGAAAGGCACACACCTGTCTATATAAGATCCCACAGTTGAAAGTGCATGTCAGAGCAATAACCAAGCCATGAGGTCGAAGGAATTGTTCGTAGAGCTCCGAGACAAGATTGTGTCAAGGCACAGATCTGGGGAAGGGTACAGTGGCCTCCATCATTCTTAAATGGAAGAAGTTTGGAACCACCAAGACTCTTCCTAGAGCTGGCCGCCTGGCCAAACTGAGCAATCGGGGGAGAAGGGCCTTGGTCAGGGAGGTGACCAAGAACCCGATTGTCACTCTGACAGAGCTCCAGAGTTCCTCTGTGGAGATGGGAGAACCTTCCCAAGCCACTCCTCAGTAAAAGGCACATGACAGCCCGCATGGAGTTTGCCAAAAGGCACCTAAAGAAAATTCTCTGGTCTGATGAAACCAAGATTGAACTCTTTGGCCTGAATGCCAAGCGTCACGTCTGGAGGAAACCTGGCATCATCCCTACGGTGAAGCATGGTGGTGGCAGCACCATGCTGTGGGGATGTTTTTCAGCGGCAGGGATTGAGCGACTAGTCAGGATCGAGAGAAAGATGAACGGAGCAAAGTATAGTGAGATCCTTGATGAAAACCTGCTCCAGAGCGCTCAGGACCTCAGACTGGGGCGAAGGTTCACCTTCCAACAGGACAACGACCCTAAGCACACAGCCAAGACAACGCAGGAGTGGCTTCGGGACAAGTCTCTGAATGTCCTTGAGTAGCCCAGCCAGAGCCCGGACTTGAACCCGATCGAACATCTCTGGAGAGACCTGAAAATAGTTTTGCAGTGACTCTCCCCATCCAACCTGACAGAGCTTGAGAGAATCTGCAGAGAAGAATGGGAGAAACTCCCCAAATACAGGTGTGCCAAGCTTGTAGCGTCATACCCAAGAAGACTCTAAGCTGTAATCGCTGCCAAAGGTGCTACAACAAAGTACTGAGTAAAGGGTCTGAATACATATGTAAATGTTATATTTCAGTTCTTTATTTTTAATACATTTGTAAAAATTTCTAAAAACCTGTTTTTGCCTTTTTGTTATGGGGTATTGTGTGTGGATTGATGAGGGAAAAATTTAATCAATTTTAGAATAAGGCTGTAACTTAAGAAAATGTGGACAAAGTCAAGGGGTCTGAATCCTTTCCGAAGGCGCTGGAGATCATGTTAATATGTTGTTCCTATAGGTCCATGGGACGGCCCCTGATATAGCCGGGCTGGACATGGCCAATCCTACGGCTCTGCTGCTCAGCGCTGTGATGATGCTGCGTCACATGGGCTTGCACGACTACGGCAAGAAGATCGAGACCTCCTGCTTCGACACCATCAGAGACAAGAAGGTCTGAAACCGCACTCTTATTCTGAAATCACTGCCTGTCTCTCTGCTAACACACTCTTATTCTGAAATCACTGCCTGTCTCTCTGCTAACACACTCTTATTCTGAAATCACTGCCTGTCTCTCTGCTAACACACTCTTATTCTGAAGTTATAGGGATGTTACTGCACCCTTATTCTGAAGTTTTTTAATAATGAAGTGCCTAATCTCATGTATTTGTCCTATCGCCTCAGGTTCTGACGAGAGATCTGGGGGGGAATTCTAAATGTTCTGAGTTCACAGCTGAGATCTGCCAGAGAGTACAAGACATGGACTGAGAGATGCTGCCTGGTCTGAGTACTAACCAAATTATACCAGCTGGTCGTGACGAGATTATCAGAGTTCAGGAGAGTTCCTGAGAAAACCGAATCAAACCCAACTTTAGTCTGGTTACCAGTCTGTTTAGCTAACATTCCACCCCTTATGCTCCGTGTCATTGCCAAACATTGTACAAGGAGTGGAACATTAGCTTAACACTGGTAACCAGACTAACCTAACTACTCATAGTTCTGATAACTTCTACAATTATACTCTAAATGTATAACAACCTATGGAAGCAAATAACTCCAAAGTTTTTTTTACAAAACAGAAAATCACTGTATTAAAACTGTGGTCAAATGGTTCCTGTATGTATATGTGAGATGTAGTTCATTCTTAAAGAACTGCTCTAATATAAAGATGCTCTATATATTTATTGACTGGTTTGGGCCGATGATTCATTTTCTCATACCTTGTTGATTGTTGCGATTTGGTCTGTGGCTGCTGGTTTCACAATTACACCATATTAAAGTTACTGATATTTTGAACAAAGTCTCCTGTTGGTTTGTTCATTATGTAATGCTTGGCCTTCTGTACATTCATTATGTAATGCTTGGCCTTCTGTACATTCATTATGTAATGCTTGGCCTTCTGTACATTCACTATGTAATGCTTGGCCTCCTGTACATTCACTATGTAATGCTTGGCCTTCTGTACATTCATTATGTAATGCTTGGCCTTCTGTATATTCACTATGTAATGCTTGGCCTTCTGTACATTCATTATGTAATGCTTGGCCTTCTGTACATTCATTATGTAATGCTTGGCCTTCTGCACATTCATTATGTAATGCTTGGCCTTCTGTATATTCATTATGTAATGCTTGGCCTTCTGTATATTCATTATGTAATGCTTGGCCTTCTGTATATTCATTATGTAATGCTTGGCCTTCTGTACATTCATTATGTAATGCTTGGCCTTCTGTACATTCACTATGTAATGCTTGGCCTTCTGTACATTCACTATGTAATGCTTGCATTTCTATGAGTGTGCTAGGGTTACTATAATAATAGCATATCCCATTTCACAGATGCTTATTATGCATGCAGACATATGAGTGGCCCCAGTGGGAATTCAAGCACCATGCTCTACCAACTGAGCCCCACAGGTTAGACTGGGGCTCTATTCAATCTAGAAAACTGAAGCGTTACAGATTCCGCAAAACTAATTCAAAGGTAATTTCCAACTGAGCAGACATATGCAGCCTTTACCAGTAGTCTACTGAACGTAGCCATGGTAACATTACCAGTAGTCTACTGAACGTAGCCATGGTAACATTACCAGTAGTCTACTGAACGTAGCCATGGTAACATTACCAGTAGTCTACTGAACGTAGCCTTGGTAACATTACCAGTAGTCTACTGAACGTAGCCATGGTAACATTACCAGTAGTCTACTGAACGTAGCCATGGTAACATTACCTGTAGTCTACTGAACGTAGCCATGGTAACATTACCAGTAGTCTACTGAACGTAGCCATGGTAACATTACCAGTAGTCTACTGAACGTAGCCATGGTAACATTACCAGTAGTCTACTGAACGTAGCCATGGTAACATTACCAATAGTCTACTGAACGTAGCCATGGTAACATTACCAGTATTCTACTGAACGTAGCCATGGTAACATTACCAGTAGTCTACTGAACGTAGCCATGGTAACATTACCTGTAGTCTACTGAACGTAGCCATGGTAACATTACCTGTAGTCTACTGAACGTAGCCATGGTAACATTACCAGTAGTCTACTGAACGTAGCCATGGTAACATTACCAGTAGTCTACTGAACGTAGCCATGGTAACATTACCAGTAGTCTACTGAACGTAGCCATGGTAACATTACCAGTAGTCTACTGAACATAGCCATGGTACAGTGGGGGAAAAAAGTATTTAGTCAGCCACCAATGGTCCAAGTTCTCCCACTTAAAAAGATGAGAGAGGCCTGTAATTTTCATCATAGGTACACGTCAACTATGACAGACAAAATGAGAATTCTTTTTCCAGAAAATCATATTGTAGGATTTTTTAATGAATTTATTTGCAAATTATGGTGGAAAATAAGTATTTGGTCAATAACAAAAAAAAGTTTCTCAATACTTTGTTATATACCCTTTGTTGGCAATGACACAGGTCAAACGTTTTCTGTAAGTCTTCACAAGGTTTTCACACACTGTTGCTGGTATTTTGGCCCATTCCTCCATGCATATGTCCTCTAGAGCAGTGATGTTTTGGGGCTGTCGCTGGGCAACACGGACTTTCCACTCCCTCCAAAGATTTTCTATGGGGTTGAGATCTGGAGACTGGCTAGGCCACTCCAGGACCTTGAAATGCTTCTTACGAAGCCACTCCTTCGTTGCCCGGGCGGTGTGTTTGGGATCATTGTCATGCTGAAAGACCCAGCCACGTTTCATCTTCAATGCCCTTGCTGATGGAAGGAGGTTTTCACTCAAAATCTCACGATACATGACCCCATTCATTCTTTCCTTTACACGGATCAGTCGTCCTGGTCCCTTTGCAGAAAAACAGCCCCAAAGCATGATGTTTCCACCCCCATGCTTCACAGTAGGTATGGTGTTCTTTGGATGCAACTCAGCATTCTTTGTCCTCCAAACACGACGAGTTGAGTTTTTACCAAAAAGTTCTATTTTGGTTTCATCTGACCATATGACATTCTCCCAATCCTCTTCTGGATCATCCAAATGCACTCTAGCAAACTTCAGACGGGCCTGGACATGTACTGCCTTAAGCAGGGGGACACGTCTGGCACTGCAGGATTTGAGTCCCTGGCGGCGTAGTGTGTTACTGATGGTAGGCTTTGTTACTTTGGTCCCAGCTCTCTGCAGGTCATTCACTAGGTCCCCCCGTGTGGTTCTGGGATTTTTGCTCACCGTTCTTGTGATCATTTTGACTCCACGGGGTGAGATCTTGCGTGGAGCCCCAGATCGAGGGAGATTATCAGTGGTCTTGTATGTCTTCCATTTCCTAATAATTGCTCCCACAGTTGATTTCTTCAAACCAAGCTGCTTACCTATTGCAGATTCAGTCTTCCCAGCCTGGTGCAGGTCTACAATTTTGTTTCTGGTGTCCTTTGACAGCTCTTTGGTCTTGGCCATAGTGGAGTTTGGAGTGTGACTGTTTGAGGTTGAGGACAGGTGTCTTTTATACTGATAACAAGTTCAAACGGGTGCCATTAATACAGGTAACGAGTGGAGGACAGAGGAGCCTCTTAAAGAAGAAGTTACAGGTCTGTGAGAGCCAGAAATCTTGCTTGTTTGTAGGTGTCCAAATACTTATTTTCCACCATAATTTGCAAATAAATTCATAAAAAATCCTACAATGTGATTTTCTGGAGAAAAAAAATCTCATTTTGTCTGTCATAGTTGACGTGTACCTATGATGAAAATTACAGGCCTCTCTCATCTTTTTAAGTGGGAGAACTTGGACCATTGGTGGCTGACTAAATACTTTTTTTCCCCACTGTAACTTTACCAGTATTCTACTGAACATAGCCATGGTAACATTACCAGTAGTACATTTTACATTTTACATTTTAGTCATTTAGCAGACGCTCTTAACCAGAGCGACTTACAGGAGCAATTAGGGTTAAGTGCCTTGCTCAAGGGCACATTAACGTCATTTAGCAGACGCTCTTAGCCAGAGCGACTCACAAATTGATGCGTTCACCCTATAGCCAGTGGGATAACCACTTACAATTTGGGGGGGGGGGGGGGGGGGGGGGTGGGGTTAGAAGAATAAGTTAGCTATCCCAGGTATTCCTTAAAGAGGTGGGGTTTTCAAAAATGCTCCGGAAGGGGTGGTGGAGGACTCCGCTGTCCTGGCGTCGTGAGGAGCTGTCCACCAGGGGTGCCAGAGAGCAGCGAAACAGTTTGACGGTGAGGGGAGGGAGCTGTGCTTCAGCAGAGGAAGAGGGGAGCCAGCAGGCCAGAGGGGATGAAAGCAATGTCCTCCGTGTGGGTGTTTGTAGGGACTGATCAGAGCCTGAAGGGATACAGGGGTCGCCGTCCTCACTGCTCCAAGGCAAGACCATGGTCTTGTAGCGGAGCGAGCTTCAATGGAAGCCAGTGGAGTGTGCGGAGGAGGGGGGTGACGTGAGAGAACTTGGGAAGGTTGAACACCAGACGGGCTGCGGCATTCTGGATGAGTTGTAGGGGTTTAATGGCACAGGCAGGGAGCCCAGCCAACAGCGAGTTGCAGTAGTCCAGACGGGAGATGACAAGTGCCTGGACCAGGACCTGCGCCGCTTCCTGTGTAAGGCAGGGGTCGCACTCTCCGAATGTTGTAGAGCATGAACCTGCAGGAGCGGGTCACCGCCTTGATGTTGGCGGAGAACGACAGGGTGTTGTCCAGGGTCACGCCTAGGCTCTTCGCACTCTGGGAGGAGGACACAGCGAGTTGTCTACCGTGATGGCGAGATCATGGAACGGGCAGTCCTTCCCGGGGAGGAAGAGCAGCTCCGTCTTGCCAGGGTTCAGCTTGAGGTGGTGATCCGTCATCCATACTGATATGTCTGCCAGACATGCAGAGATGCGATTCGCCACCTGGTGATCAGAAGGGGGAAAGGAGAAGATTAGTTGTGTATCGTCAGCGTAGCAATGATAGGAAAGGCCATGTGAGGATATGACCAGAGCCAAGTGACTTGGTGTATAGGGAGGAAAAGGAGAGGGCCCAAAACCGATCCCTGGGGGACACCAGTGGTGAGGAGCACGTGGTGCGGAGACAGCTTCCCCCGCCACGCCACTTGGTAGGAGCGACCGGTCAGGTAGGACGCAATCCAGGAGTGAGCCGCGCCGGAGATGCCCATTTCGGAGAGGGTGGAGAGGAGGATCTGATGGTTCACAGTATCAAAGGCAGCAGACAGATCTAGAAGGACAAGAGCAGAGGAGAGAGAGTTAGCTTTAGCAGTGCTGGTAGAGTCTCTGTGACACAGAGAAAGCAGTCTCA